CGGAGATAAGCTTGTATTTGACCACTTAAGAAAAATCTGTATTTGAATCTAGTGCGTATATTTGAAAACTTACAAAAAAGTGTTTTCGCAGTGCTCCGGATTAACAGAAATAATGTGGTCTCCCAAAAATGGGGAGCAGAATAATATAAAAAAGTACCTACTCAAACCCACCTTAGATTTATTGATTTTAAAAACTTAGTTTGTGCCTTGAGTCACTGCTTTGAGAAAGCTTGATGCTTCACGTTTCACGTTTAAAGCACGTTTTTCTTGTTTCACTATTGTGGAATAGTAAAACATGTTATAATCTTTTATGGTAGCTTAATCTATATTATCATTTCAGCCATGATTGTCCAAAAAATTAGTTATTGTCGGTTCCTTCCGTTGCGAATTTTCCTTAGTACGAAAATGAATACTTTCGTGATACAAAACTAACTTAGTGGCAACTTATGGCAACGTTTACGTTTATCCCGGCATTTCAGGGGGCGTGTTGTCCCCGAAATAAGACATCGGGCAATTCAATACTTACAACATGTGAAGACAGCAACAACGTACTCAACGTACGTACAACAACAACAACAACAACAACGTACAACAACGTTTTACTAGTTTTTTTTACAAATTACCCCCAATAGCCGACAAAATCAACCGTGGTGCTTGTGTGTCCTATCTCTGCAGCAATGATGGACTTACGATCACGTGCTCCAATTACATATTCAAATCATGACGGAATAAGGGGTTGATAAATATTTATGCAGCCCAATTAAATGTTTTGACTACTTTTTGGTATTTAAGCTGTACCTGGTCTTGTTTTACTTACTTAAAACGCAAAGAACAGTTCTGGAACGAGGCATTTCTCATCCGAAAAAACTCATAGCGGAACAAGCCAAAACATCAGGTGCAACAAAGGATGAAAATATACATAAAACAGCTCAAGTTGACTGTGAAAGATCCCCGACTTCATGACAAATTCGAAGGTATTGTTTCGCAAGCCTACATTCTGAAGCCGTCCTTGTTGACAGACGTAAGCGAGTGCGGAGTCTAGGGGGAGGGGGGGGGGGGGGGGGGTCATTCAAAATCCAACGTCCGGTCGGAATGGCAATGTCGGAGGCCATTTCGGCGCTCGTGTTACGAAAGACATGTTTATTTTTCATAATTTGAACGTGGCAGGGGAAAAGTACCAACGGACGTAAATCAAGTTAAAACTGGATCAGTGTGTCTGACCAGGGTGGGTTTTGAGGTTACATAACACCTGGATTGGTTTCAAAAGGCTACCAGGTCTAAACACTCAAGTAGTTTCTAAGTGGTGTCATTATGTTGTAATCGCTACCTACCAAAGGGATAGAATTGTTGCGTGTGCGGTTATGGGCATCACCGATCTTGAGGAGATGTACACACTAGTGACATCTGAATTCTGAACGAGTCCCTCCGCCACAATGCTGGATCTGTGGGCTAGCGCTCCTTATCACAGTATCTAATAACATTATAAAAATATAGAAAACTACTGTAATATAAATATATTAAGAACATAAATATATAGAAAATTACTGAACCACCACCTGCCATGGCCGCCACCTTTCATCACCTTGTTGTCATGTCATTGTCATGAAGTCCAGAATTTTGCAGTCATAGAGTTTTTCTTCGTCTTTTGTTGCACCTGACGTTTTGGTTGGTTCCCCCCCCCCCCCTTAGTTTCCCGGATAAAAAGTGCCCCGTTCTGCCCTTGGTAAGTTGTCCTTGTCCTTGTCCCTGGTTGTCCTAAGTACCTTAAATGAGTTCGGCTTTAGCTTAAATGCTATAAAGTGGTCAAAACACTTAACTGGGCTGCATAAATATCCATGAACCCATAATTCCGTTATGATTTGACTACGTAAGTGGAATATGTGAGTGCGAGTAATTCATCATTGCTGCGGACACATGACGCACAAGCGCCACGGTTCATTTTTGTCGGCTTTTTGAACGTAATCTTGTGATAAACTAGTGAAAAAGCACGTTATTGTCCACAACTGTTGTAAGTATGGAATCGTCTGATGTCCGATTGCCGTTTATCAGAGGTGTCGATTGCTGTAAATGAATGGAAGCAGAGGGGGTTCGTTCGCCTTACCTTCGCCCTAAAGTTCGAGGGCTTCGTCTCGCCTTCATCGTTTTCCCCATTCTTTCTTTTAAACAGTAATGCAAACAATGGGGCACGAAACAACATTAGCAGCCGAAATCAAGATTGGAAGAGGATCATCATAGCAGCCATTACCACGGACCGCATGCGCAGGCCCCCGGCAGGTCCGAGTCAGCAGTTCTGTTGGTGTTCTCGCCGCTGCCACGAGAGCTGCCCAGGAGCACCTAGCTCTGGCGGAGCACCGAGCTCTGGCGGTCCTCGCCGTTGCACTGCACGCGGTCAGCCTCCAGAGCGGATCACGAACACAGCGGTGCACACGCCTTCAAAAAGCACGCGCGGTTGCACCGAGAGAGTTCATGTTGCCAAGGGCAGGTCAGTGAGGTCTGACCCCAGGAATACGACACGAACGACAGTGACGACACGACGCAAATGCTACGGCGGTAACGACCACAAAAGCCGCTCGTGCTCGTGGTACGTGTCGGGCAGTGCGCCCATGTGTCATACTGCTCGACACGTGCCACCCCTGCCATGCACGCACGCCTTAACAAGCAGCACAGCGCAGAAGCTGCTCCAGACCTGATTGGGTTGGTGTCGGGCCGTCTCCGCCGCCATCTGCCGCCCCGCGACACCCGTGCCCACGTGAACCGCGTGTCGGAGCGCTGGCCGCCTCCTCATCGCTGAGCCGGCCGGACACTGACGGCCGGCCCCGCGGCGCCGCCGCCGGCCCCCGCGCCGAGGGGAGAGCCGGGCGACCGCCGCCCCGCCTCTCGTCTCGGGTCGCGGACGCGGCTTTATCGGTGCGCAGCCCCCGCCCCCTCCCCAAGGCTCCCACCCCCGCGGATCGGCCCTCTCCGCCTCCGCAGGGAGGGCCGTGTCGTCCGGCCGCGAGGCACCCGTGACGTCACCATTATAAACAGGGGCGAGCACAGGGAGGCGACGCCGGACACAGCCACGTGCGCTGCTCGGGACCGCACGGGACCGCACTGCTCAGGACCACACCGGACCGCGCTGCTCAGGACCACAGCGGACCGCGCTGCTCAGGACCACAACGGACCACGCTGCTCCGGACCACACCGGACCACGCTGCTCAGGACCGCACCGGACCGTGCTGCTCAGGAACACACCGGACCGCGCTGATCAGGACCAGCACCGGACCACGCTGCCCAGGATCGCGGTGACGATCTGGGCCCCGGGCGTTGGGACCTGTTGGCTGGCCATAAGGCGGTATTAACGCCCTACACGACACCAGGCTGGGCCGACCCTTCAATATAGCGTCAAGAAGTGCTCACCACTTTGGCTTGGTCATTTGGGTACTGACCACTTAAACGGGCATTGCTGACCACACTGTGGATATTGGCAGACGTTTTACATAAATTTTCCCACTCTGGTGTTCTTATCGATTAATTTCTACATCACTAACTACCACTTATTGGTAATAGATGTCAATGGGAAATATTAGTTGTTCGCGTACAACTGATAAAATTGGAGTTACATTTCAATAAATAATTTTGTATTCGGTGATCACATGACGTCTCGGCCGGACCACCCCACACACAACGGCGAACTGCCGCACGCAACGCCGACAGGGAGAGACTCAACGCGCTCCGAGCAGCACCTCTTATACTTCTTCCAAGCCCACCCGCAACACAAGTGGCGTGCGACTCGCCGGCGCCACCGCGTCCCACCCCATCGGCGTATCCACGGAATAACGAACCGCCCCCGAGCCGTGACCGTTTCCCTCACTTGGGCATGAGACATCGCCCTACTCGGCTCACAACGTTAACACTGTCCTGGGCATAATCTATTGCTAAATAGCTCAAAACTAGTCAGCTATACCTTACTGGTGAGTGTTTTTTGCTGATCGGTGCCATAATATCGGAGCACGGGGTTGTCGACAGGTTTCGTCGGCCGCTCCCTTCCTCCCCTGGGTTCAGCTTTAGTATTTGACAACCTGAGCAGCTATGCAACCAGACAGCGTACAGGTCATTTCAACGGCATCGAGCGCGGTGTACCGATTGATGGACGTCATGTCAAAAGATAAGGGACACACCACGGGTCTCGATTTGTATTCTTCTGTGAGGGCCCTGACCCGCCCCCCCCCCCCATTATTGAGTTGGGCCCCTCCAATATCGGCTTCCCCTCCAATGTTTGGCTGGAATACCACAAAAAAACGTTGGCAAAAGATGCTCATAACACAAATACTATCTTCTTTAATATCTCCGCGTAGTGGCGTCTTGTACCACTCTCATAATAGAAAGTCATGGTTGCTCTCAACGCAAGAAAAATATCGTAACGGCTGAGCGGATAAACGATGCAATAAACTTCACATACCTAGCGCCCTAAGACACGCAATGGTTTGTGAGGCTAAAGTGAAAAGCTCTGGAATATGGTGATGGCCAAGTCCTTCATGGCTAACCCCGTTCCCCTACCTCACAATAGAAATGTGTGCCGCCTCCCATGACTGTCATGGAAGAGCGCCATCGGCGCCTTAAGGGTCTTAAGGTAAGGTAAGGTAAGGTCTAAAGGGGCCATCATGCATGACTTCTACGCTGCTTAAATTCAAGGCTTGTTTAAATTATACCACGACAAGAACATATTTTGCATTTAAACAAAACAAAGGGAAATAAGTCCGGTGACAAAAATGGAGGCAGGTTGTCGGGCCTTCGGCTCGTCCCCGCAAAATATTTATGGCGTACGTCATATATTACGCTGGTCGATAAACCCCAGCCATACAGTCCCTATCGTTAACTCCCTGTCCTGTCCGCGCTTCTGAGAACGAGGGCGATCACGCACAGAATTGAATCGTTTAGTTCAGACTGCTAAACGCAGACACCGCACAGCCTCCCACAATACCTTTACCCGCATCCTCGCGATCAAAGTAGCGCCTCACCATTTTGGCTAGGTTCTGCGCTGCCCGTGTCCACCCCAGCTCGTTCCAACAGCTCCGCACGCCGCAGATGAGGCGAGTCCCCTAGCTGGTCCGCGTCCGGGCGTGGGAGCGTTCGAGCCCACCAGACGGCACACCCGCATCGCATCCACCCGACCGCACCGGGTCCTGCCTGCCTTGTGTGCGCGCACACACACACACACCAAACACGTTTCCGCACAGCTCCAATGCCTTCACGACCAACCAGAAGCTGTGCCCGCGAACGGTGCTCCACACCCCAACACACAAGGCAGAGCAAGATCAAACACGCGCACAGGGCGGCCGCGTCCAGCCTGCGGAATACGGCCACGGAGCTGCTCTCCCCCCCCCCCCCCCCTCCCGGCCGGCGACGCCAGCTGACTGCGGGGCAATCGGCTGGCTGGCGGCTCGGCTTCCAGGCCTTGGGGCCCGGAGCTGCGAGGGGCGGGGTAGCGGGACGGAGGGGTGCTCTCCATTAGTGCCGCCAGAGTTGTTCGGTCTGTTGTCTGGCTAGGTGTTGTAGGACCGCGGAAGGAAATGAGAGCGAGAGGACACTTTTATGCTTAATATATTTGAATAGCACTGCAAACTGAATGGAACACGGAGAAGCGCAGACGCAGGGAAGGGACGGGGTGGTCAGGGCATGGGCGTAGGAACGGGGTGGGGGGGGGGGGGGGGGCAGGGGGCCACGGTCCCCCACTTTTCAAGGTGTGGGGGGGGGGCAATGGTGTAAACTAGCCTCCCACTTTTCAGATTAAGGTGGCGTTTAGCTTACTTTTGCACCACATTAAATATACATGCCGATTTACCTATTTCTCAAGCCATCTTTCTCAAGGTGCGTCATCTTTTTCATCTGCTTATTGGCCAGTATCACATCCGCAGGCCGACGCCGCGCGGCAAATGGAGACTGCAACGCCGGGCCTCGATTGTTGTTGCTATGACCTGCGAGCGCTCATGTTCAAAACCATACTACGTAGTTTTTTATCAGTAACTGTTTCTGTATTCTGAGCAGATAAAAGTTACAGAAACACGAAAAATAGAGATTCTTCCTATACTCTTACAGTTTTAATATCAGATTCCAGCACCACTTCTCGGCGCTTTAAAGGGAATGCTCCACATTTGAAGGTATTGAGGTAGTCATCAGATGTTATGGGAAAAGCTTACTTGTAACTATTGGTAAGCTTTCAAGGTTCAAAAACGACGCTAAGTAGCAAAATTTCCAAGTTTGTAAAAATGTGCCCCATTACGTCGTTCTTTGATGGCGTCATGGAATGGTTTTGTGACGACAGCAATACCTAGCAGCATCTGGCAGCCAGACCTAAAGAATACCTCAAGACACACGAAAGCTTACGCCAACCGGCCATTCTCGTCGCGGGGTTGTGTCGGGAGGCGGATTAGTGGGTGGTTTGTTTGCGGATTTTATGTCCTGGAACTGGCCGTAAGAAAAGCTTTGGTGGACTGTTCGACATACGCAACGTAGCGATCGTCAGCTTTTATGGCAGATTATTAATATCAAAGCACGATATGCTGTGCTGCTGCTGTTGCTGTGCTGTTGATGATTTTGTCAATACTTTAATGTTGGCCCATCGTTGCCTGAAGTGCTGCAGTCCTGACATTGATATAATGTGATGTGCACAGTAGTTACTTTCTTTATTGATTGTAACCGGAAATGCGGTGTCATGCGAAAATGAAAGGGAATGTTCCATATTTGCGTGGCGTTTTGAACTGATAAAGCCGTTTTGAGGACCTTTTGATGCAGTTCACGATCATGTCCTTTTTAAGACCCAAAACGATCTGGTTCTTGAATTACACGCACTCAAAAGTGCAAACAAAGGTTTAAATGGAGCCTATTTCAAAGTTGCCTTGGCATTAATGACGTCATAGAAACGTCATGTGATCGCGGTCATACTACAGGCTGTTTTCTGCTTATGGTCAAAACAGCATGGCCGCTGGTACATTCGCAAAAGCAATGATGCGGCACGTATGACACAATGCGCGAAAGATGATTGGCTGTCAGCAAGATTTTGCTGCTGAATGCGTGTCACGAACGTAAGCGTGAGCACTTTTGGGGCTGTGCGGCACTCGTCGTGAACGGGTAATTTTTCCTCATTTCTAGGCCACGGGTCAATGTTATAAAACAAAGAACGCAAATGTCTGCAAAAAAGCACGGCACCCAAAAAACGGGCACTCTCCCGAAAGTTAGATAAAACAAGACGCGACAGCAAATCTGTTTTTTTCTCCCTGCTGGTTTTTTTTTCTTCTTGAAGAAACCTCCTGAGCCGCGTTACTATGAACCCCTGTTGGGACTTTGTGTTGAAGGGAGGTCACGGTAAATTACGGTGTTATGGCAGAAAATCTATGCGGAAATTGCGAGAAAACCTGCAGTTTGATAGTTCCGCGGCCTGTGCGAGTATGAGATCACACTTATTTGACAAAAGAGTGTGAATCGGGGGCTTGAAATGTGTGTGATCACTGATGATGTGTGCCAGTGACTTGTATTGATCTTGATGTAATGGGGAGTGTGCGTGCGAGGTTTGTACTTCTGAGAGAAAACATTGAGAGAAAACATTGTTTTGGTACTCTTTAAGCCTACAGACTCCCAATAAATTGTGATATATTGATACCTGCATCTACCTTTATGCTTGCGTTTGAACATGACAAAGGAACGCTGGCAAACTAAGAGAAGCACTAGCACTTTTGTTGCAGGGGTGTACAAAAGCAAGCTGGTACTTTATTATGATCTTGCCGAAATTTGGAACCTATTGAGGTATTACAGCATGCAATTAATCCAATGTGTAACATTATATCAGCAATTCATTTTGGCAGGTAGGGATTGGTGCGTACAGCTCGTTAAGGCACATACTCAGTATAGGCTCACATTGCATACTTCACGGAATTGTCTTTCCTAAAAAATTCTGAAAATATAGGGCTGTATTATTACTTATGCACATTGCACTGTCTTCACAAATTCTGTATGCAGGCGAGCATTGCTTGTGAGTCATCAATGTCATAGTCACTGTCATCACAGTCATCAGTCACTGCAACTTGCGTGAGATGCTGGGTGCTGAGAAAGGTGGAAAAAGTATTGTTGGTGTCTTGGATAGCACTTGGATTTGGATTTGTAAACGGTAAACTCTAAATGACTGCACCGGATAGAATACATCAATAAATATTGGGGAGGGCGCAGTCGGCTCTAACGTAATCAGAAATCAATCAGAAACCTGCATAGAAGTCAAACACGAACAGTCTGTGGTCCTGATCGCTTGAACCCTAATTATGCCATTTTTAGTCTGCGTTGTTGCCTTTTGGACAGCTAACGGTACAATAGGCAAATCCAAAGATGCCCTAGTGACCCAGACTGTACCAGCGACAAAAAGTGGCGTTTCCTTTTCCGCTTGAATGACAGATATCACGTAGGATTTTAAAGGGTTTGAAGGCATTACAGCAACGTTATAATGGCCTGGAAGGTATTGCAGCAACGCTATAATGATGCGAACCATTTTAATAATGCATGTCTGAAATGTACTCCGTGACACACATTGACGGGTCAGATCGACATCCAGCTGAGGTAGGAGCTGTCACGCCGCCGCTGCGGCCTCGAGCACCCGCGGTGCTGGCTGGGCCCTCAGACGGACCGAGTGGCACAGTGGAAGCGCACGACGCGACGTGATGACGGTCACCGGGTTCTGGCTGCGGGCTGGCTTGTGGCGCCCGCGGTGACGGCGTTGACCGCCTGCCAAGGTAAGGGATTAGGAGACGAAACCCCCATACTCCCAGTGTGGGGGGTTCAGCTAGTCCCCGTGCGCCGAGATCGTAGCGTAGCGAGATCGTGCTGGTGCAATTAACGCGTGGTTCTCCAGACATTCCTGCCTCCTCCCGCCCCGATACCCTGCTTACAGACGTCTCAATTCTGCACGTGACAGGCTAACCAGAAGTAAAAACGAGCGTCGGCGCCCGATGTAATTAAGTAATTTTGCTCAGCCCATTAAGGGATGTAGGAAGACTGCACTCTGGTCGAGATAATGGAGTTTCATTAGCGATGCAATACTGGCGGTTTTCCACCTGCTCGCCACGCCTGCCCGGTGAACCAGCGGTTCAGCGACTGCGGCGCTCAGTGTCCGCTGCTCGCCGGGCTGCGCCAGCGGCTGCCGGCGGGTCACGAGTGTCGCTGCCTGGTGGCCGTCTTGCTTGCTGCCTACGGGAACTGTGACGGCAAGCCGTCGTTGTGTGATGGCTTTAACCCGTGCATTATGTTGTGCAGCAGCATATAGTCACTCGAAGCTGCGCAATGCCAGCGTACTGGCGTGATGAAGAAATACAATTTATTGCGTACGTCGTCACGCTGTTCCGAAGGCAAACATGTGATCAGTCAATACAAATGCTGTATCCAAAGATAACAGACATGTGCTGCAATTCGTGCGGGAGCAGGGGCGGAAAACCCCGCACCGCCTTGGAAGCTTGCGTGGCAAAACAACACCAGGCTCTACATTTCCCTGTCATTTCTTGGAGGTCACATCCTTCGCAATATTTTCAATTAAAGAATGTGAACATCATACGGCGCACCACAAATTGCAAGGTCGTGGAAGACGGTCAGTATATTTTGATTCAATCAGGTGTAATCTGTTTTCGATCTACTAAGCGGGCACCCCCATAACACCGCCGCAGGTAATCCTCCACAGCACATGTTACGAATCAGAAGACATACTTTCAGGAGAAGTATCTACTTAATGGAATATTGCAGATAATGCTCTTCAGGCTGGGTGACTGCTACGTCTCGATAATGGTGAGGATTTCCCATTGATGTCTGTTTTCCATGTAACTGTTTTGGGGTTTGTTACCAGTAGACACCAACCTCAAACACGTCACGCTAACAGCAATAAAACATTCTGGCAACATACCTGGTGATTTGGTAGAAAGCTACGATACCATGATGTGTTTACCTGGGACATTTCATCATTCTTCCGCTTTGAAGACAAAATGCGCCTGGGTTACGATGCAGTTTCTCCTTCAGGTTTTATCGTAAAACAATAACAACAATTTTTTCTTGGAATCGCATGGACACTGATTTGGTCGATGGGCATTTCAACATGGTTGACATTTACATTTAATGGCATGGGTGCATACACCAAAATATAAAATATCGCACCAGAATGTGAGCAACAGCGACAGGATAATAAAATCTTCTGGCAAAACTGCCTCCGTGCGATCATTTGAAAAAACCTGTAAAACCGAGCATCTCGAATCACGGTTAGACAGAACCCAAACCTATAATAGCAGGCAGATGAA